TTTTTTTTTTTTTAATGTCACTATTACTTTCGTTAAGTCGTCTCAAATATGTTGCAATAGTTGGTTGCAATTATGAAAATAGTATTATTCTTCTCTTCAATTCAGCACTTCAGTTCCTTGATCCAGTCCCATTTCAAGCTGACCTTTTCACTCCTTCTTATTTCCATAACCTTCCCATAACCTCTTGCAGAATAACAGCTAAAAATTAATGAGGTGGTTAATCAGTGCTGCCTTTTGCTGTCAGTTAACGGCATTAAATAAAATTCTATTTGAAAATTTATATGTAAAAGAAAAATGGTAAAAAACAAAAAACTGAAACGATGGAAATTTATTTACAATTGCTGTTAAAAAAAAAAAAACAATTTGTCTTTACAATTTTCTATAAAATCAGTTTAGGCATTTACACACACACACACATAGATGTATAAATATGCATCTATCAATGTCAATGATAAAGTAACTTTTTTGCAGTTGTAAAAGAACATCAAAAGTTTCTTAAGCAACAAAAATGTGTCATTTTCTAGCTGATTTACATCTGACGACAGTATAAACTGGTTTTATGGTTAATCACCAAAAAAGAAAGAAAAAAAAAGAGACAAAAAACAAAACAAAACAAACCTATAATTCTTCTAATCATTATTTATTTCTAAAAAATTTTTAGAAATATACCTTTTTCTTTCTAAGATTTATTTGCTTAAAAGTTTATGAAAATTTTCCAATTCTTCACATCAAACCTTAAAAGTTTGTAAACAATACCTTTTTCACCCTCTCTATGATAATCAGTTTTGTTAAAAAAAAGAAAAAAAAAACAAACTAACTTTGTTGGTCTGTCAATGCAGCAATTAAAATACAGTGGTGTTGAAAAAATTTAGCAATTTGCAGTGATTTCAACGGCAGTGCAATAAATTTTGTTGAAATTTAGCAAAGGAAAAAAAAATTTTATTAAATAAACTCTTTTTTACAGTTTTTCTTCTATAAATTTATTAAACAATCTAACAAAA